AGCCATACCCAGCAGGCTCGCGGGTTCTGCAGAATGCCCCTGGGCACGGTGGAGAGACGAAGGGCTCCCTCACTCCGCTTGCCAAGCGGCTGTGCTTCCGTCTGCAACTTCTTTAGTGGAGCTGTAGCTACATCTTTGAGGTTTAAGTAAAGACCCGCTCATCCACGGATGATCCCTACCTACGAACGAGGTGCAGGAGCGCGCCCTCCTGCGCCCCGGCTCTCCATGACAAGGTTTCTGCCCCAGCAATACCTTAAAAGGCAGGCTGGTGAGCGTGTGTACCCACCCCTCTCCCGACTTCCTGGAAAGTTTGTGAGACGGGACTAGAAGAGGATGGATAGCTTCACCCAAACCTACTTAGGTTGTTCCTTGATTATACCCTACAGTTTGTCTTTTTCTGCTAACTGTTGGCAAACAGTTCCATGTCTGGGCTGTGTCTTGGGGAGTTTACTGCTGACTAAGATGTCTGTAGAAGGCGTTGGGGGTTCACTGCCTCCTTACTGCCCCCACCCTCCTTAGGGCAGGGAGGGAGTGGGTTGTCAGCCCCTGCACAAACAGAAAGACAAATCCTGGCAAAGGTACTCCAAGCCCTTAAGCTGAATGAGCTCTGTGAGAGTGAGGGGAGTGTGTGAATGGCCAAAGGTATGTGTGACTCCTGTTCCTGTTTCAGTATGGCTGTGCTTTAACAGTTGTGGTCCGTAGGTGGCTTGTGTGTTAGGCCCCCAAGGAAAGACGATGGGTTTTGCTCTGAAAGCCTCTCTTAGGATGCACCACACACTCTCAGATGGTCTCACTTTTTGTTTCTCTTACTCAGAGACAACTTTGATTTTGACGTCAGGAATTCGATTTCCCACAATGCCTAGAACTCGCCTTCAGAGGTACAGTTCGCCAGGGCTTGGAGTCTGGGTTTGAGCTGTGGAAACTTAATGAGAAAGAGAAGGGAACTCTCATCCCAGGGCACCCCATCCAGGCAAGGCTGGAGCAGGAGGGGGTTGTCTGTCCTTCCTTTCATCTTGCCCTGGTTCTGTGGCCTGGGTTGGAGGCGGCCTTGGCCAAAATTGAGGGGACCAATTCTTGAAGGCTTTGGGATCCAGCTTTTTTTTTCTTTTGGGGCATTTGTGGATTGTACCCTTCCTCCTTGCAGCAGGTCTAGCTGCTGGTGCTGGGAACTAGGGGGCTGGTCCCCTCACACACATATACCCAACCATTCTCTTTCCTGGGATATGGGGCTGAGTGGCCTAAGAATTCCATGTAGGGGCGGACATGCCCTTGGGCCTCAGGGAGGAACGGGTAATCCTAGGCTGTGGGTGTTTAAACCTTGGGGGTGGGGAGGGAAGACAACAGAGAGCCTTTCCAAGAGGGGTCCCTTCAACCTGCCAGTTGGAAGGTTTGGGCTCCTCCTCAACACAAGCTGGGCTTCTCCACCCTGAGCCACTGCAAATGGAGCACTTGGGAGCACAGGTCTAGGGATCCCCCCACCTCGGTGCCTCTGGCGTCCTGGCCTCTAGGGGCATTTTAAGAGTTGGAATGTTTCAGCAGCAGGCAGAATATTCTTTTGCTTTGGGGGGATAGTTGAGGCGTATTCCCTTCAGGAAAACGTTACCAAGTAATGTAATCACGTCTCTCTTGTTGGCTCTCTTCCTTGCACCCTGTAGCCGCCCCCCGCCCCCACCTGCTGCCACTCCTTGCTCGCAGGCAGCCTGGTCCTTAGCGCGCTCGTCCTCCTGCTTCACCGCTGCGAGGTAGCGAGGCGGGTCGGACCTCGCTGTTCCGACAGCCCCTGGGTGGCCCGATCGAGCCGCTCCCGGCTCGGACTTATCGGGGCAAGCTTAGGGGTCTTTATCCGTTTGCGAGGCGTAGAACCTCGGAAGAATCGGGCGGGAGGAGACTGGGAGCGACCCGAGAGCAACTTGGGGCCGAGAGCACCACCCCCCTTAAATCTAGGACGGGTCGGCGTGGCACCCCTGCTCCCGCCTCCGGTCTGTGTTTTCTAAGGAACTCAAACCCCGACTCCTTGCTCTGGGTGGCAGGAGCGTCGTTTGCAGGAGGCGGCACCCTCAGAGTCACGTCCAGCATGGGCAGGGGACCCCTTTCAAAGAAAGAGCTCAGTGTTTTGTGGGAGCCGGTGGATAGATTCAGAAAAGGACTTCGTCCTAAGCTGGTGGGTCCCGGCTTCTTGGTCCAAAATTTAGGGTGGGGGTGTGTCTCGCTCGGGGCACAGCCTGCCCTGTCCAGTGCTGTCCCCAATGCCTCGGTCAGGGGTGTAAGGAGGCCAAGGTCCGAGTTCCCTCAGAGCCTGACCCCAGACAGCGCTGGGTGCAGTGAGGGCCTCCCAGCTTTCTCGAACCTCTCTCCTCCCCGAATCCGCCAGTTCGCCCACACATCTGGGTCCCGCTGGCCCCTCTTGCTGGCCAAGACTTTTGGGAACAGTGCGGGACATACAGGGTGGTGGGCGTTTATCGACCCGTGCTGTTAATTTTGGCCTATCTCCCACGTAGTCTCCCGGAGTACTGAGGAAAGGGCAGCGGACATCCCGGAATGCTGGCTGGAGAGCGGGCCAACCCGGCGGGAGTAAGGAAGGAATTGCCCAGTCCTGGCTGGGGTGGTAAATGGGAAGCAGGCCCGGAAAGTCAGGCATCCCCCTTCCTTGTCTCCTAACAGATCTACATCTTGAAGCTCTTGTGAACCCTGAAGATGTGGGTTAAGGGCATTTTATTTTGTATTTGCTGGGATCTGGGTGAAGGACTTCTCCAGGACGCCCCACTACCCTTTCTTCCTTTCCTGGCGCTCCTGCGTCAGGTGAACGTCCTTATCCTCTTGTAGGTCATTCCTTAAGGGTGTGGAGTGGACTCATTTCCCCGCCGGGAGTTCTCTGAAACTCTGGAGCAGCGATTTGCTCTTCCCATTCCTGCCTTTTCTCGTGGTGCCGGGGGAAAAACTAAAACAAAAACAACACGGAGAAAAATATGTAGAGAGATTGAGATTCCTTCAGATTCCGACACAGAAATTCAAACAGAAGCCCTCGACACCACAAACCTCTTTTCTCCGCATTACAGAAGTACTGTCAGGCACGGGCCAACTTTTAAAGGTCAGGCTGTCTGTCCCCGCCGGCAGGTTCGGCCCTCGCGGGCAGATTCAGAAGCGGATTGGCGCTTCGGATCCCGTCCCAGCTTTGGACCAGAGCTATGCAACACCCAGAGGGAATTTGGAGAAACCCGGGTGGCCGCGGCTGGCGCGCTGACTCCGGTCTCCTCCGTTCTTCTGCCTGGATCAGAGGAGACAGAGAGGGTGGAGGGGAACCCTCCTTGGGAAGCCGCAGTCTCAGGGCGTTCAGGGAGCGGAATTAACGGTTTAACCGGGACAAGGAGCAGGCACGTAGGGCAGGTGAGAGGCGAAGGTATGCACTGAGTGGTCCCGCGTCAGTGCCCAAGGAAGACGGAAAGTCGAAACAGACGAGGAGGTAGGACCTACTTCGAGTGGTTTCATCGTCTGGTCCATTCTCGAGGAAAACCAAAGCCAGGCGGGGCCGGGCGGGAGCGGCGCCCTCGGGTCTGGGAGCGCGACCTGCGTGACCTCGCTGCGACCAGGGCAGAGCTCCTCCGCCCCGCGGGCAGGCGCCGGCTTGGGTGGCCCGGGGGAATGGCGATCATTGCTTCCACAAGCTTTTGCTGCGCGCTTGAGGGCGGCGCACGGTCCGGAGCGCCCCCGCCGCGTGCCCTGGGTTTTTGAGGGCTCTCAAAGGCAAGGCAGGTGCGCTCAGGGCGGCCCTTCCCGTGGAGCGGGCTTCACGCGCACCGCGACCCGCCGCCCCGAGTGGAGGTCGAAGATGCGAAGGGGGCAAAAGAGGCTCAGTTACCGCGCGGCGCATCCGGTATTCTTGCGCCTCGGCCCTTTTCCTCCTTCTCCTTGCCCTTTCCTATTCCTAGTTTATTATCCCGAGCGGATTGGGGCTGGGCCAAGCCTGGGACCCGTTTCCTGCCTCTTTGGAGCCGGTAAAGCCGTTTTCCGCGGGGAAAGGAGCTGCAGGTGGGAGCGCAGACGGCGCGCTTTGAGAGAGGAGGCTGGGCTGTAAGCCCTCTTCCTCCCCATGTCCTTTTCATGCCAAGAATTTGGGAAGACAAACCCAAACCCCAGCGTGGGCGGCACAAACTTTCCGTGACTTTTTAACCCTTAGAAAGCAGCTCTCCTATTTTGGGAGCAGCTCCTCCGGGACAGAGCCTGGAGGAAGCCCGCGGGTCCCCGCGCTTCGCGCTCCCTGCCGGTGTTGGAGCCTCGGTTTCTTGCCCTGCTCCCCGCGCTGAGCGGACCTTGAAGAGCCCTCCAGACATGGCAGGCGCAAGAGAGACGAGGTCTCTACCTGGGCAGCCGCTAAGGTAAGTTAAATTCGACCCAGGGAGGGAGTTGGTGACATTGTGAGCCCGGGAAGGCGAAATGGAGCTGTCTGCAGGTTGCACCCACCTTCTAAGAGAGCAAGCCGCGGCTGACCTGGGACTCAGCGCAGGCTTCACTCCTTGGGGCTCCGAGGTTGGCTTCAACAAGGAGGGGACTTTTTTTTTTTTAATAGGCTGGGGAATGTCTTTTAATGGATTCTGAAGGGTGGAACTAATCAGGGAGATGAGGAATTACTAGCAAAACCCAAAACCCGAACGGGAAGAAACCGGGAACGGCAGGAAGTTAAAGAAAAGAATACCAAAGCTGGGTGTACCTCTCTCTTGACACGCCTCAAAACAAAGCCGGGTTAAGGCGAGAACTGTAGGCTGAACGCTCTAGGGGTTACAGCGAGGTGACTTCTCAAGATGTCCTGGAGGCCGCCTACTCGACCTAATACCAGGGTTAATGTTTAAAAATCAGGTCCTTCTAGAGGTGAGATGAGGGTCGAGGCAGACGGAAACCAGCAAAGCAATGTCTTTCCATTGAACTGACAAAACACAGCCTGCAGGGCGTGTTGTATTTTGAACAGTGACCCGCTGACCCCGCTGACCAGGTGTAGACAGCCTCGAGTCCTGACCATTTCCATTGTAATACCTTTTGCCTCGGATTTTAGTGCCCTTTCACTCTGTGCTACAGGCAATTAGTGACTACTTAGCACTGCATTAGCAGACAGAACCCAGAGAGACCCGGGTGCTGGGAAGGCAGCAGTGGAGGAAGGGGAGGGAGTTGCACCTGCAGTCGCCCAGGGGTGGGAAATTAGTTAACCGGGACTAACCTTTCTTTCTATCGCATTGTTAAGAAATCTCCTTTGAGCCTCTTGTTTTAGTCAGTAATGGTGGATATTTTGTGGTTTTCTCTGGCTGGGAAACTAGTCGCCTCCAAAATGAAGAGTTGTGGAGCAGGGAGGGTTGGTGGAGTTGGATGGAGGGACCTTGTGCCATTTCTTTCAATTAGGGAAATTTATCAGGATTTGAGCTGAGAAGCTTTGGAATGCAGAGACTTGGAACCAGTTTAGCTGCTAAAGGGGTAATCTTGCCCACTTTGGGAAACCCAACGTTGAGGGTAGATGGAGGCAGCTGTGGCAGATGCATCACTGTATAGATTGCTGCTGTTGGAGATGGCTGTGGAGGGGAGCCTTACTTTTGTAATGATTTTCTGTCTTTCCTCCCTTCCTGGAATGTGTGTTAATGAAGCCCATAACACAGAAGTAAGCAAACAGGGCCTCCTGTTTTAATTCCACTGTGGCTTGAATGTCTGTCTTCCTTCTCTCTTTTCTGCCTTTCTCTTTTCCTTCCTCTGTCTCTTCCTTACTTTCTTTGTGAGATCTTTGCAGGGAGGAGCATGGGTTTGTGCAGGAATTCTGAGCACCAGGGTCTTGTGGGGTTGAACGCCCTGATCTGATCAGGGGGATCAGATCCATCTCACTATTTCCAGGAGACTTGGGAGAGAAGAGCAGTTTCTGGATTCAGGACAGAAGCGGAGCTGGGAGCTGGGCTGTTGTTGTTTGTGGTAGGAAAAAATCAGCTATAAATAAATACCACTGTGAGGTTTTTTTTCCTTTTTTTTTTCACCTTTTCTAGTCCTCAATTTTATAGGAGCCCTGCTCCAAATGGAGCACAAATCAACCATTTTGAGGCTCTGCAGTTGCGGGTAGGTGGACAGGTTGGGTTTAATTGGTAAAATTGAAATTGATTCTCCCTTGGAAAATGTTCTTTGGGTGAACTGTGTTAGGGGTGAACTGTGTTAGTGGTGGACTGGCAAATCATCCTGGGAGGGAGGCAGCTCCTAAGTCCTATTGTTATTTTGGTGGATTTCTCTTCTCAGAGCCCCCCATTCCCCTCCCTCTCTCAGTCTGGGTCTAGTCACAGATGTTTTACGCTGGTATCTCCCCCTCCAAATGCCTTTAAAGTATAATTTGTTTTAATTATAATGTTAGAGGGTTACGGGATTGGTTCTGGGAATAGCTTAATAGAGACAAAACTTGCAGCCAAATTAATTGAAAGTTTCTTCTTATGAGGGAGAGGGTGCCAAACATATGGAATATTGCCACAGAATGAGACATCAGAAAAATACATTGTGGAGATTTAGCAATGATTACATGTGAAAAATGGAGTGGAAACAGAGATATCTCTATGGCATTTCCGTAGACGGTTACGGATTTGTTTAATGTGATTTTCTGTTTTATTTGCAATCACTGAGAATGTTCGATATTCTACTGAAAATAAATAATTTCGTATCAATATATAATCTACAAGACAATCCTATACCTGCAAGTACATGTTTATATTCCTTATTTTATTCACTATAGGACCCCTATTAAAATGTTATTCCAAATTCAACCTTAAAATGGTAACATTGAAATTGTCTCCAGGACACTTTTGAATTTGATCTTTGAAGCCATTACTCTCTTTGAGCTAAGCAGGAAAAGAACAAAGGAGATTTTCAAAGGGACCTCAAACCACCAAATGAAACAAATAAGACCTATGATGGGAAGGATTCTGGAGAAGTGGAGGGAAAGACAATGTTAGGCATGATCATTGCTGATATGAAAAGGATTTTCTGACTTTGCCAGTTGTCAGTCATTTGTCAAGAGAAACTAGAAAAAAAGTAGAAATTAGATAAGATGTGTAGATGGATGTATTTTTCAAGTATGTAAGTGAATAGAATTATAACAGAGAATGTAATTTACCTTAAATGTGATGCCAGTTTTTTTTTTTTTTACTTTTCCCAATATTTTTGTGGCTGGCCCAGATCACTACTACGTTTAATGCTGTCATCACCATCACAAAGTACCACAATGTTCAATCCACCTTTTATCCTTAACCTTGAAAGAATTAATATTGGAGTGTTGTGCTTCAGCTGTGTTATTTATGAGAATATTCTTACTAGTTTATGAAGACCCCTTAAGAGGAAGTGTATTTTTAAAATTTTGGAAAATTATGTTATGATCTCTTCACAATGCATTGGTTTAGAATAAGGGAACATATAAATAAGGAAGCTATAAGCTCTTCAATACAAATGAATTGCCTTTAGTAGGAAAATAGCAAATAGAGAGCCAGGAAGGGAAAAAACCAGATACATCTAGTTATGATGTGTCATATAAAACTGCATCCTGGGTCTCAGCCTCCGTTTCTTCAGTCCACAATTATCAGGTGATTTAAAAGGGGGAGTTGTGACCAGAAAAGAGAATTATATTGTCAATGGTGATGGTGGCGACTATGAACTGGAAAGTTTTATTTTAGAGTATGTATTGAATAACAGAACTTTTAATTGATTTAATTTTAATTTAGCTGTACCTCTGTTACAGTCCTTAGACTTGGCTGTTCCAGAACTTAGGTATGAGTTTAGGCCAGCCTGCTGTTGTATTTAATATGTCCTGTGGTCTTCTATCGACACGCTTTAGACTTAGTCATCCCCAGCCTGAATCAATAAGGTCCCACTGAGAGTACTTCCCTGCTCTGCCTTTTCAAAACCACCTTCTTTCTCACTTACTCAGAAAACCTTAGGTAACAGAGCAGCGCTGTCTGCCATTGTTTTGTCCTCCTTATATATGGGGAAGGAATGGAGAATTCCAAGAAAACTATTCGCATAATATTTCAGTTGTATGCATGTTTCCTTAAAGCCCCATTTGGCTCCTTCTTCCAGTTTGTAGTCAGTAAAGAAACTGAACAAATAAATAGAATTACATATTTTTTAGAAAAATACATCAGCCAAATGTTATTTAAGACAGGGCTCAAAAAACTACTTACTCCTGGAGTGAAATCACCAGCAAAAGGGTTTGGGGTGAAGCCCACCAGATAGCAGTGTGGCTCTGGTGAGCACTGTTGGAAGCCTTGGTCTCCAGTCAGCCCCAGAATCAGAATCTTTATCTGAGATACAGAAGGTTCTAGCTCTAGTTTGGCCCCCAACTGTGTGCCCTTAGGGAAGTCCTTTTAAATGTAGAGGTTCAGTTTTCACAGGCTCTCCAGGAGAGTAAACGAACTTGCAGATTTGCAAGTACTCAACAAAATTCAAAGTGCTGGCAATCTTAAAGACCACGATCACCATTCCCATCTTGCAGATGGAGCCTCCCTAAGCTGGCTGGAGTGCTCCTGGGTGTCCAAAGAGGACGGCCAAGCTGACTGGGAGTATTGTGGGGTCCATAAACAGGGAACCTGGAAGCATTTCCCACGGACTGGCTCCCTATCCTGAAAGAAGCAAGGGAAATCTTTTCCTGGGCATTAGGCTGTCAAGTCAAATTTTGAAACAAAAATAGGAATCTCTACTCCTCCAAAAGGCAGTGAAAAAGCAGTACCTTGCAGGACTCCACAGTGGCCCATCAGAGTTCAAATTTTACAAAATATTAATCTACTCTGAGACCGTGGTTAAATGAGCATTATTCCTACCAATACAAAGTAACTGTCTTTGAGATATTAAAGTGTTCACCAGCATTGTGAGTCCAATGGAAGGATCTGAAATTCTAAGTCATTTTCCCAGAAAGATACACATTCTAGAAGTCATTGTCAAGTGTGTTGGTTCTAGTTTTAGTGTCTTTAGTGGGAAAAAAAATGTTTTTCCTCACCTTGTTGATCTTCTGTGACCAAAGAGATAGAAAACACAATTTTTCAAAGAATTAAAATCGATCAAATAAACAAACACGAACAGTCTCTGAAATGTTTCATGGTGGCCCTTGGTTCCTTGAGAGCAGTTTCTTGGAAATGAAGAAACGTGAGTGGGGAATAAACATGCACAGTACTTCTTATATATCACCAGAGCGGGGTGGGCAGTGTGGTCTACCACAGACCACATCAGACCTTTTGATCCCTTCCACTTCCCAGCTTTCTGAACCTTTACTGATGGAGGAATTTGGGTATTTAAAAAGGAATCCACTGTTTGATGGACCACTCTGAAAAACAAACCCCCTGTGCCCCCACTATGGTACTTCAGGTGATTTGAGGTCTGGGCATCATGCTGTGGATTTTATAAGCTTCCTTCATGAAGAACCAGGTTATGACTACAGGCAAAGGATTTTTAGCTATTTCTTATCAAATAAGAAATAGTCACTTTGCCATTGGGCATTTTGGTGTCTCCAAGATAAGTACTAGAAGCCTCAAATGTTAATTTGAACTCAATCCACTCTTACCTGAATACATTACAGCAAAAGTGAAGTGAGGTCGGGTAGCTGGTGGCCCCAGTCCCCCCACCTCCCACCATTCACCAAGGTCTGGTGAATTTGCCCTCATTGTGTGGAGGGAAGACTGAGATTTCTTTATTTCAAGAAGACTGAACCTTGTAATGTTGCATTATCTGCTGTGCGTACTCTGGGGTTATGCTGTTTAGAGAGGGTTGTACTTTTCCAGATGCTTTAGAACTAGAGGGATGGAGGAGAGTTTTGAGTGTTTTGACGGTGGGGGTGGGGAAATTATATTGGAAAATAATGAAGCATGAAGTAATTTTGATATACTTTAAATATATGAATCCACCTTGTGGGTGACTGGCCCTGAGAGAATGGAGACCATTGAGCTTGGACAAAGGTATTATGGGGCCATGTGTTTTATACGCATTTACTGATGTGATCACACAGCAACCCTGAGAGACTGGAGTGTTATTATCTCCTGTTTACAGATAAGAAAACTGAGGCTCAAAGAGGTTAAATAGTTTGACCAAGATCACATACATGGTAGAATCAGGATCTCAAACTCTGATCTGGGATTTGTTGTAAACGATCCGGCAGACCTAAAAATCTGGAGACCTAAACTCTAAACAGAGCTGAAAACTTTCAAATTCCCCCAAGAGTTTTCCAAAAAGGTATTTGAGCAAAATGTTTCTACTCCCCCTTAGTCTTCTTTTTCACTCACTGTCCACTTTCCCCACCGCCCCAGGGTGGGAGAGTGATGGCTTCCTTTCCACTGACACAGCATGGCTTCAGAAGAATTGTTTTTTCTTTCCAGAATTGCAATGCCTCAGCCATTTTGTGAGAATATGCTTGTGCATGTGTGAGTGTGTGTTAGTATCTGTGGTATATGTGTACATGAGTGTGTGCAAATGTGTGTGTCTAAGTGAAGGTGGTATGTGTGGGTGCCTTTGTCTATGTATGAGTATGTATATCGCAGTGTAGCTTTGTGATTGTGTTTCTCTTGTGTGTCTGAATGTATATGTGAGTGTGTCTGTTACGTGTATCTTTGTGTTTACGGTATGTGTGAATATGTGTGTACACCTGACTGTGTGAGATGTGTCTGTGCGAGTGTGTGGGAGGGTGTCTGCATGGATAGCTGCGTGCAGCTCTTCTCCCTGCGGGTGTAGGTCTGTGCCTTGCTCTGTGTCCGTCTAAGACTCTGGGGGACGGCCTTGCCGATGGGAGTGTGTTGTACTGTGTGGTCCAGCAACCTTGGTTGTTCCAGAGGTGTAGCTGTCTTTTCATGCCTGAGTTTACCCTTTGCAGAGCCCCCGCAGAGAGCATCACCACAGGACACTTTCCTGCAGATAAAATAAAAATTTCCATCTTAAATGAAATGACTGCTCAGATCAGAAACTGAGTTTATAGATCAAATTCTGTCTCAGTGACTGTTTAAATTCCAGTTTTTAAAGTAAAATTTCGTGATAGTAAATACCGCATGAATAACCTGGGTTTACTAGGGATTTGGAAATCCTCTCACTGCTTGGAAATTTTGGTTACAACTTTATTTCTTGTAGGAGACCTACATAACCTCTGTCCTGTCCAGATTCTCCAGGTTATTTTTAAAAATCATAATTTATTATAGATTAAAAACAAGATTTGTGTTGTTGCTCTTTGGAAATTATCTAGATAGCTTACATTTCACACGAATCCAAATAATTGGATGGCGTGCTGTCACCTGAAGTGGAGTCCAAGTTCACAGGCCTCCACCCCCTCACAGGCAGGGGTGAATCTGAGCTTGACGATGTCATCAGCAACCTGGCACCTTGCAGCTGGGCGCAGGGGGTCAGCGGGACAGGAGCTCCCGCTCCCAGCCCTCCCTGGGCACTAGGTGTCTGTCCCATACGACACGTGCATATCTGTCCAAAGGATCGAAATCTATGCCTCAGACAAATGCCCAGTTGTGAGGGAGCACCAGAGGCCAGGGACTCATCTACTCTGTAACTGTACACAGAGCAGCTTTGAGACTATCTCTCCACCTCCATCTCTCCTCCATAAAATGACAGGGTCGAGCCAGCCAGGTGAGGTGATGTCTCAGACCCTCAGCTCTCAGGTTGAGTGAGGCCCTGTCACACACACAGTCTCGATTCAAATCCTGGTTCTCCCGCTGTGAGACCTTGGACACTTTACTTGACCTCTCCTGGGCTCAGTTTCCTCATCTGTAAAACGGAGATAAAGTACCTCCCTCACCCGGTTGTGTGAATTACTGAGGAAACAGACATTCAGGACCCGGTATAGCTCATCACAGGCTCTGGACGCCTGGTTTTACTATAATTATTGGTATATTGTGGATCTCTTAAACCATTTCTACATCATCTTTGTTTTAAAAAACTCTCTCTCAAAATCTATAGTGGAATGCAGTGGGAAAGGTTTTGCTTTCTTTCAATGAAAAATGCACCCTTAGTAATGTCCCTTGCATTTTCGCCAAACCCGAGGACCCCAGGTGGGTCCCAAAGTCCCACAACCCTCTCTCTCTCACTTTCTCACCCCTAGTTTGGGCAGCAGAGCCTAAGCCCGCATGAAGCATCCCCTGCAAGCTAGAGGCTGAAACGGCTCGTCTGTCTGCTTTTAGTGTTGTTCCTAAACGTGATGTTGTCTGGGCTTCCAAGCCTCTACAACTCCCCTGCCCGCCCTTCCCGCATACATTAGACTTAATGTATTCTCCCTTGAATACTCATCATATTAAGGCTCCTGGTAGATACCTTGCTAGAAATAAATTTTATGGGCATGCTTCCTCGCCCTCATCCCCGTGCATTTGTGGCCGGGAGGAGAAATATAGCCGTCTCTTTCCTCGGAGGCCAAACAACAATTAGGTGGGAATTGGTGGTCCTCTGGCTCGGGGGCTGGGTCGGTGCAGAGAGGGAGCGGGAGCCGGCTCCGCAGCCCCGGAGGCGGAGGGCCTGTCCCCACCGGGCCCTCCAAGGGTTAATTTGCTTCTGTTGGCCCAGTTCCTGGCTCCCCTATCCCCTATCGAGCCAAGCCACCCGCCCCACCCCCGTGGCCCACAGCGCAGGCAGTCCTGCACCCGCGCGTCCCCACACCTCTTCCCCGACCGCAGGGCTGCCTTCCCCGCCCTTGCAAAATGATGCCCGCGCAGTCTTCCTCCGCGCCTCCTTCTTCAAGCCCCCGGCTCAGCAGCTGCCACTGCCCCAAACACTGCCTGCAGGAGATCAGCTCTCCCTTTCCCTCGATGGCTCTGCTTAGCTGAGTTGTCCCCGCCCCTAGTCCAGGCTGGGCTGGTCACACCACCGGAGCTCGAGGCTACCCACCCCTCCCTCCTCACTGTCCCACCTCTTCTCTTCCAAACCTCTCAGCTGGTAAGGCCCCTGCTCTCAGAGCCCTCCCTGGCCGCTCCAGGGCTGCCAGTCCCTGACCTTCCCCCTGAGAGGCAGGCATGTGGCTGAAGGAGCACCTGTATGGAGGCGTCAGGTGCGCCCCCAAGCCACGGCATAGCTGCTGTGTGATGCGCATGCTGTGAACCTCCGCGTGAGGGTTTTGACATCTATGTGGGGGTTCTTGGGAGTTCAGTGAGATCAGGCCCAAGGAAGTGGGCCCCTAACTTTCCTTTCCTTCAGCCGCCATCAGCACCACTGCTCTCACTTGGTGACTGCAGTTATCTTGCCACCTAGTAGCAAACCTTTAATGAGCACCTCCTGTGTACCAAGCCCTGTCCTGCATGTATTGGTTCGTTTATCTTCGCAGCAGTCCTACCAGGTGCTGTCAGCATCATCCCCCTGCTTTGACATGAGAGAAGACTGAGGCAGAGGGGAGCCAAGTAATTTGTTCAAGGTTAGAAAGCAGAGCCAGGATTCAGAATTAGGCAGCCTGGCTTCAGAACCCACCACCTTACCCTGCGCCCTACCTAGCCCCTCTTATGCGATGGAAGTTCCTTTAGCTGTTACGTGCTTAGCATTTTGCTGGGACCCCCTGGTAAGTACTTAATGGTTGAACAGCTTCTTTGCCAAGGAGGAAAACTTTTGCGATTGAAAAAAAATTCCATATGAACTGGGACAGGTAGCAAGTGTCCAGGCCTACATGCGTCTGGTAGTTTCCATGGGGCATTTTGGTCTGAGAGTCAGGTCAAAGGGCAGGACATCTAGTGAGTCTGACTTTCAGGCAGATGGTGGCTGCCGAGGCCATGAAGGCCTTGCTGGGGTTTGATTGGGTCCAAGACTGACGTGTGTGTACAAGGCTAATGATGACTCTTAGTGAACGTCCCAATAGCCTGTCTATAAGTTTGAGATACAAATGACTTAATACTTGAGAAAGCTTTCTCTCTACATAGGTTTAGATGTGTTTAAATTTTTCCCCTATTGCCTTGAGGCTAACTCCCTTATGTTAACACTTTAAAATTAGATCATCACCAACAAGCAATGTGAATCAAGAAACACGCGTGACTCATGAGAGATTTGGCCCTACTCCTTTTGTTGACGTATAGGAGCATGAGACTGCTTTGAGGCAGGCTTTTTAGGGAGGAGTTGATCCCCTATTTATTCAGGGGTAAGTGTCTGTGGAGTTACTCTTGTCTGCCAGGCACTCTGCTAGGCAGTGAGGATACAAAGCTGAGAAGGAGACATGATTCCTGCTCCCTGAGGATCCCACCTTCTAACGGGAAGGACAGGGTATCAGCAGGCGATGTTTATAATAGAGGTGAGGGACCACAGGGCAACCAGCCTCCTGATGTCCTGTATCAGGAGGCTACCGCAGGAGGCCAACGCTGGCACTTTAATGTTTTCATTCTTAATATTTCTCCTTCCCTTTTTTGAGGAAAAGGACGAGGGAAAATGACTGGAGATGCTAGCACTATTTGTTCGCTCAACTGTGGAAGCCTGACCATTTTATGCATTTTGAAACTAAATACTATCAACCCCCTAAGCAATCCCTTGGCAGAGATGGGATGGTAGAGGAACATACCTTGGAGAGGAAATCACCCAGCACAGCAACAGGTGGGGCGGTGGTTAGGGTTCAGCTGCAGACAACAGAATCCACTATTAGAGTACCAGGTATGGATTAGATGACTTTGAACTCAGTGGAGCAAGCTCTGGGCCAAGCTTCTGGGAAAAACTACCAACCTCCAGAATTTCAGTGCCTCTGCCCTGACTGATCGGGACATTAAAACCACAGAACCTCGGAGACTCTGCCATACTCCACTCCAGCACAAAAGGAGCCTGCCCCTCTGCTGTGCCTCCATTAACTCAGTTCTAAATTCAAGTCTCTCCTAAGTGCATCTGATTGGCAGACTCTAAATCACAGTTGGAACCCACGCTGCAAGGGAGTCTGGAAGAGCAGTTTCTAGATTTCCTGTCTGCAGTCCAGGAAGGCATATTAGTTGGGAATGTTGATTGAGTCATGGTATCTTTTGCAGTTCATTAAAATGCTGAGATTCTTTCTCCAGGAACATCTTCAGTCATGGACCTACCCGTCACACATCATTTGCTTTTCAGGCCAGATGGCCTCTCAGTCCATGCCTAGGCAGGGCTCACTTTAGAGGCTGATGTTTTTAGCACAAATACCACCCAGTAGTGAAAATGTCATGGAAATAGAGGTGAATGTTGTTGGGTCTTCCTGGCCATCGGCTGTGGAATTGCAGCTGTAAGTGTGAGCCTCGTGGAACTCTTAGAAACAGGCAACCCCTCTGAGCCAAAGCCACCCAAAGTCAGGCCAGTAAAGTGTGGATTGGGTTTCAGTCCCAGTCTACTCCTTTGAGCAGGTACCTTTGTGCAGTGTACAACCTACACAACTGTATGTGGCAGCCTTGGGAGTTTGGGTTATGTCCTTTCCCAAAACAGGCAGGATGGGAAGGCAGCTACACAGCGCCTGGTCCAGTTAGCAGTGCTGTGCAGAAGGCTCATGCTGCCTCTCTCACTTCTCTCTACAGAGATCCCCCAGTGTGCTGGCTGCAACCAGCATATTCTGGACAAGTTCATCCTGAAGGTCCTGGACAGACACTGGCACAGCTCCTGCCTCAAGTGTGCAGATTGCCAGATGCAGCTGGCTGACAGGTGCTTCTCCAGGGCTGGGAGCGTCTACTGCAAGGAGGACTTTTTCAAGTAAGTCAGAACTGGGGCGCGCACCTCACTCTTCTTCCCCCGGCCTGACTGCCTCTCCCCGTGCGGTGAGGGGGAAGCTTGCAGCAAGGCAGGTGGAAAGGGCGAGGTCCATCCTGGGTGGGGCAGGAGAATCCTGGTGCTGAGAGGCTGTTCCTTATTGAGGTCCCCCATCTGATCACTGACCCCGTCACTCCTTGAGGCCCAGAGTCTCGGCCTCACATGCGCTCTGCAAGGGGCAGGCAGGAGGAGGAGCCAGACTTCTCCAGGGTCTGCAGGATCCCTGCAAATCCCCAAAAGAGTTGCTCTCTCTGTCTTGGTGAGTTGGTGCCTCAGGGCACTTGGCTGTATCATTCCTGCGACTTTCAGAGTAGTGCTTTGAGATTGGTGTCCCAGATCTAAACGTATCTCCATGGCTGCTTCAAGGGCCTCAGAAAAGTTGCTTCTGGTAGGGGTTGAGCCAGGCTCAGACAGTGTCATCAACTTCAATGGAAATATGATGAAGAGATGGTTTTGTGTGATGGTTTAGAGCCCTGACTCTGCCTGGATTTGAACCCACTTATTGGCTGTGTGCTCTTGGTTGAGTTATTTAACTTCACTGTGCCTCAGTTTGCTTATCTGTAAAATGGGGCTGATAACAATAGGATTGTTAATTAGTTTTGAATGAGTCAGCATGTGCAAAGTCCTTGGGACAGTGCCTGATACCTGAGTGTTAGCTGTCCTTGATTTTTCATTCTGGGATTGGATCCATCAGAAAAAACTCCTGTTGAGCTTCAGATCAAAGTGAGAGGATCTCTTAGAATTTATTTTCCCTGGCATTTAGTCTGGAACTTCTCTCCCAGAATGTATTATCTGAGGCACTTAGGCTGGTGCCTCAGCTGATGTGGACCAGCTGGTAACAGCAAGGCCAAGAACAGGAGCGGGGAGTATCCGTCGGTGACACTGAGCCCAGTGTGGGAGGCCCACTGGGTGTGCGGATTATGATGGGCCCGTCAGGCTCGCCAAGGCCCGGAAACGCTGGGCACGAGTGAGCAAGCTCCGGAGGGATGCGCGCAGCCTTCAGAGGATGAGTATTCTGGAGACAGGCAGGAGAGATTGGGAGAAATGCCAGTCCTGGATACAGAACATGATTTCTCCCACATCCTCCCCAAGGTCTTACTGCGGGGAGTAAGTAATTTGGATTTCTGAGGATTCTCAAGTTTTGTTAGTCCTGTGTGAGTTGAAAAGCATTTTGAAGAGGCTCTCGGTCACCACTGGGGCTACCTCTGTGGCTTGTCTCCAGAAGGCAGCACTCATTCTTATCACAAAGTGGGATCATGTTGGTCAAATGTGCACTGTTCTTTCCCTGTGAGTGTGTGTGCGTGTGTGGATGTGTGCACACTTGTGTCTGTGCTGGAGCCCCTGAGAGCGGGGCATGGTTAGCTCAGGCACACCCAGCAGACGCTTGATGGTTCCAGGTGAGGGGTGGGCCGCTTGCCCTTCCCGGTCTTTTCTGCAGACTGCTCCCCTTTCTCCCCATCTTCCTTTTGCTTTTCCCACCTCTGACCCTTGCCTCATTTCCCTTATTCTGGCATTTACACAGTTCCGTCTCCTCCACTCACATCCTTTCTCAGCAGCAAGAGTTTGCCTCTACCTTCCTCTCTCACGGATGCCCTGACCAAGCACCATGGCAGCCCTACGGGCCCCTGGATGGGGCGAATTTCAGTGTGTGTGTGTGTGTGTGTGTGTGTGTGTGTGTAGGGCAGGAAGAAGTAGGTGGGTGGCCTGGCCTTGGGGGTTGGGTGAGCTGTCCCTGCTTCCAGGGTCAGTGCCCCATCTCCTGTCTGTCCCTGTACCTTTGGAAAGCCTGGCTGAGCTCCAGGGACGAGCAAGAGGCCATGTCGCCTTCTTGCCCATCTGTGGACAGGGTAGGTGCTGAGATGTCCCCGGGTCAGAACTCTGGCTGGGGTGCAGGCGAAGCCAGTCAGGATCACAGAGCTAGGGCTCTGTCACCAGAGAAGCTCCTCTGAGCCCCAGCAGTGCCCTAGGGAGCTGTCTGATGTTCGGACCTTGACTGGCTGGCTCCAGGCTTGGGAAAGGGAGGTGGCAGCAGCTGGAATGTAGGTTTGGGTTTGGGAGAAGTAGTGCTAAGGAAAGACGGTCTCTCTAGACCCAGGAGGGGGCAAGGGGAGATGAGCACAGGCCTGGGAGCCATAGGCCTGACACCAGAAATAGCAATGACAGTTACTCCCCCAGGCCGTGGCCCTGGCCCCCGGCTCATCAGTAAGGCCCCTACTGATTTCCCCACCCCTGCTGCCCACGTGCCTCCCCACCAGACCAGTGTCCTACCTCACAGCTCAGGTCCTGACCCCCAGCCACCCACTCCCAGCTCCTTTGGCAGGGCCCCTTCTGCCTACAGAATATTCCAGACGTCTTGTTCCGCCAGAGCCTTCTGCTCTGCACCCAGTCCCTTACCCAGTCCTAGCTGACTGCTTTCCTTGGGTACCCGACACCCCTGCAGGGTACCCCCTTTCCCAGGCACGCTCTACATTTTCCCATCTCCACACCCTGCCCCAGGCTATTTCATTGTCCAGGGGTGATGTCCACCCTCTCAAGGGCTCCCCATCCTTCCATGGCAGTGTGTCTACCTCGTCAGTGGAGGGAGCCCCTCAGAGACCCGGCCACCTTGCCCCTTCTCTGTCCTGGTGACGCGGCACCAGCTGCCTTGTTTTGCTCACTCCTCACACACCTTTTTGAGCTTCCTTGCTGGCTTGAGGAAAGACTTATTACTCATTCTTTTTTCTGTCCCCTGTTCGCTCACCTGGCTCCAAGCCTTGCCCATAGGCCATCACTGGGTTTGATGCAACAAAGAATAGATTACATAGTGAATTTGCAACTCGCTTCAGTGACCAGTGTCTTCTGTACCTGACTTAGCGTCCTGTGAGTCACGGAGGCACAGGCCGTTAGCCACGGTCACTCCCCTATCCCACTGGACCGCTCTGCTTCATAAAGTGGCCCACTCTCAGGGCTCCATCATCTTGGAAAGCAGGGAGCTGATCGCAGATTCAGTGCCGAATCCAGATCATTAACTCTGTGGGGTGGGGCTTGCAGAGAGAGATTTAAAGCTGAAGGGATTTCCCCCACTGCCAGTGGAGGGGCAACCACACACGAAGATCGGCCAGCTCTGAAGCCCCAGGGAGGACCCTTGGATTTATAGTCAGGCCTCACCCAGCTTTTTGGGACCGTAGCTGTTTGGAACAGGAAGGCACAGCGGCAGGTACAGTTTGGTACAGTCCTCGGTGAGGACAGGGAGGGAGAATTGTCTTGGGTCAGAGTGGCATCACCTCCCATCCACAGGGGTCTTGAGACCTGCTGCCCACTTGGGGATCAGGCTGTGATTTGACCACAGAACCGGCTCCTCATTTCAGCTCATTAAAGGCGCTTGCTTTCAGATGGCACATTGCAGAGCGGCCCTGGGAACAGAACATGAGGCGGGGTGGGGGGCAGTCTCAGGAACCCTAGGTCCCTCCCTCGTCTCACACTAGGTGGCAGAGTCACCTCTGGCAACTTCTAGAGGGCCGGCAGGTGCACGCAGTTGAATTTGCCTGTCAGACCTCAGGGTGCTCTCAGCTGTGGCCCTTGGAGGATGCCTGGTCAGAGGCAGCTTCTCTACGCTCCTTGAAGAAAAAGCGGAAAAGAAAAGGCACTATCCTTTTATGATATTTGCCCCAAAGCCCTGCTCAGAGGCGGAGGGCAGGATTCATTGACCTCACCAATCAACACTGTGGTCCTAAGTTCCAGGATCGATATTTTAAATCTCTTTGCCTATAACAAGGGTCAGGGCCACTGCTTTGCACAACTCCAGGGGCATCTTTGATTTTGTGTGAAGTTTTGTGAATCAAGACTCTCCTGTGAGGCGTGTCTAGCTAGAGGTGTGTAAGACCCCAGAAGTTGGGGGAGGACCAAGAGGAAAGCTGGAGGTTGGCTTCCACCAGCCTTCAGCCTGTGAGACGTGGTAGTACTGGTGACTGGCAGCAGAGGGCGACGTTGGCGTGTGCACAGACCAAGAAAGAAGTATGGTTGGAAGGTTGTACTCTGTGGTTGTTGCATTTTCGTGGTGGGGGACGGGGGTGTCTGTTGAACTCTGTCTTGCTCAGTAACACTGGCTGATTTTTGCTGTTGTTTGTTGTTTTTTGTTGTTTTTTGCCTCTTGGGTCCTTGGCTCCCCTTCTCCAACGGAAATAAAGTTCTGAGGCCTGAGAAGAGAGGCACTGAGTTGACTAACACAGAGTGTTTCCCAAGGCTATGTTAATTTGAATCAAGCAGGTCCTTTCTGAATTGTGCATCCAGCATGTGGAGGGTCCCCAGGTCCTTGGGGAGAGCAGGGGTCTGGGATCTGGGCTTCTGGGTCTCCTCATCACTGACTGGGTCCTGGGACAAGGCTGGTAGCTCCCTTACTCTGAAGTATGTTGAAAACTGGTTTTCTGCTCCAAGAACTGGTTCAAGTGCTGCGGTTCCTTAAGCAAGTTCCTTAACATCTCTGAGCTCCAGTGTCTTCTGCAGGAAAAATGGGAATGCTAATGAAAGCTGTTTTAGAAGACCTGGTACGCAGGAGCACTTCACAAAAGGGAGATGTTTTACAAGCAGAGCGGCCTGGTGAACCCAAAGGGAGCTCGGCTGAATTCCTGTCCTGTCTTTTACCAGCTGTTGGTCAGCAAAAAAGTGGCTAGGCCTCCCCGAGCCTCATTCCTTTATCTGTTAAGAGATGCCATTCTAACCCACAGAGTTGCTGTGAAATGGGAAGAAAATAGTGGTAAACTGTGTTCCGCACAGCTGCGTGCTTCATGCTGGAGGCTGTATTTCTGGGCTTCTGACCCTGGGTGTGTTCACTTGACCTGTGGCCCTGGAGGACTGGCCATCAGAGTCCTCCCTCAGGGCTGGGCCTGCCGGCTTCTCCAGCCCCCTCCTCCCCTTAGCTTTGAGACCCTCCCATTGAGATGACTGGAGGTGGGGTAGCCTGGCTA